TGAGTTCAAGCCCCACATTAGGCTCTGTGCTGACAGCTTGGAGCATGGAGCCTGCTTTGGATTCTGTGTCTCCCTCTCTGCCCCTCTCCTGCTCATGTTCTCTCTCTCTCAAAAATTAACATTAAAAAAGGTTTAAAAAAATCCAAGGTCTCAGAGTACCTGAGTGGCTCAGTCAATTAAACATCCAACTCTTGATTCACCTCAGGTCATGATCTCATGGTTGGGAGATCAAGCCCTGCATCCTGCTTAAGATTCTCTCTCCCTTAGGGGCGCCTGGGTGAGTCAGTCAGTTGAGCATCTGACTTCCGATCAGGTCATGATCTTGCGATTCGTGAGTTTGAATCCCGCTTTGGGCTCCATGCTGACAGCTGAGAGCCTGAAGCCTGCTTCGGATTCTGTGTCTCCCTCTCTCTCTGCTCCTCCTCCACTCACGCTTTGTCTCTAAAAAATAAACATTAAAAAATATTTCTCTGTCTCCTACTCCCTCTGCCTCATGCGCATGCACACGCGCTCTCCAAAAAAAAAAAAATCCTACGTCTCTAACTTCAAATGTCTACACTGAATACAGTTATCACTTGGATAGGGTGTGTTTCAAAACTTCCACCACTAGCCAGTGCTGATGAGCCCAGTTTCTATCTCTGAGTTCTTCTAGACTATTTAGGAGACCCTCAATTCTATCTCCTTGAAAGGTTTAAAAAGAATTTTTAAATTATCTGTGGGAGAATATAAGGAGAATTCTATTTCTGTTCTATGTAAACTGCGTACAGTAAGTGATTTGTATGAAGTACTGAATATAGTGATTTACAGCAAGCTCCACATAAAACATGCTGTTGTTTACAAAACCAGTAGTCATATAAGGGTCTATTTCAATGCAACTTTCTTATTCTTTATAGGCTTCCAACTACATAATCACTTCAAGACCAATGTTAAATTGGTTTATTCCAATGTTAAAAATTATGATTTTCAAATGTGAATAACCAAGTCCAAGATTTTGTATCATGAGGGTTTTTTGTACCATGAATTTATTTTTTTTATTTTATTAAAAAAAATTTTTTTACATTTATTTTTGAGAGATAGAGACAGAACTTGAGCAGGGAGGGGCAGAGAGAGGAGGAGACACAGAATCTGAAGCAGGCACCAGGCTCTGAACAAGCGTTCAGCACAGTGCCTGACATGGGGCTCCAACCCACAAACTGTGAGCTCATGACTGGAGCCGAAGTCGGGCACTTAACTGACTGAGCCACCCAGGTGCCCCTGCACCATAAATTTAAAATGATCCAGGCACCTGGGTGTCTCAGTCAGTTCAGTGTCTGACTCTCGGTATCAGCTCAGGTCATGATCCCATGGTTACTGAGATCAAGCCCCAAGTCGGGCTCCATGCTGTCAGCCTCTCTCTCTCTCTCTCTCTCTCTCTCCCCCCCCCTCCCTCCTCCTTTCCCCGCTCACATACTTCCTCAAAATAAACATTTTAAAAAAACAAAAAAAAAATCCAAGATAAAATAATAAAAAAATAAAACAGCAGCTTACAAAGTAAATTATCCCAATATTAAAATCTTATATTCCCGCAATAACTAGTGAAAAGATATGATTAAAAAAATAACTTTAGGGGGCATCCAGGTGGCTCAGTTGGTCAAGCGTCTGACTTCGGCTCAAGTCATGATCTGTTTTTGGGTTTGAGCCCCACATTGGGCTCTGTGTTGACAGCTCAGAGCCTGGAGGAGCCTGGAGATGCTTTAGACTGTGTGTCTCCCTCTTCCTCTACCCCTTCCCAACTCATGCTCTGTCCCTCTCTCTCTCAAAAATAAACATTAAAACTTAAAAAAACAAAACGATCATGTTCAGTCCTTAAGAGCAGAATCCATAATGGCCAAATAATAATAACCTTTTTTAGTGTTTATTTTGAAAGAGAGTGTGTGTGGGTGGGGAAGAGGAGCAGAGAGAGAGGGAGAATCCCAAGCAGGCTTCAACCTCAGGGCAGAGCCCAATATGGGGTTCAATCCCACGACTGTGAGATCATGACCTGAGCCAAAATCAAGAGCTGGGTGTTACTGACAGAGCCATGTAGGTGCCCCTAAACTTAACTTCTAAAGCAAACTTCTGTTTTCATTGCCAAAATGATACAACCTAAAAAATTTCAAATGACTTCTTTCATGTAACACGTACCCGTTTACTGCAGCATTACTTATAATAGCTAAGATATGTAAACAGCCCAAGCATCCATCAACTGATAAATGGATTAAGAAGATGTGGTATATGTGCAATGGAATATTATTCAGCCATAAAAAAGAATGAAATCTTGCCATTTGCAACAACATGGATAGAGCTAGAATATTATGCTAAGCAAAGTCAGAGAAGAAAAATAAATACTATATGATTTCACTCATATGTGGAATTTAAGAAACAAAACAAATGAGCAAAGGTGGGGGGAGACAAACCAAGAAACTGACTCAATTATAGAAAACTGATGGTTTCCAGTCGGGAGGGGGGTGGGGCGATGGTGAAGGGGATTAAGGAGTGCACTTGTCTTGACAGGTACCGACCAGGTGATGGATGGAAGTGTTGAATCACTAGATTGCATAAGTGAAATTAATAGAATACTGTGTTAACCAGAATTAAATTTTTAAAAAAATTACTTTTATAATTCAATCATAAAAACAATATATCTGGAAGAATATTTTATCTCTATACTAATTGCCTCAATAACAAAAATGTTTAGGGGCGACTGGGTGGCTCAGTTAAGCACCCAACTTTTGATTTGGCTTAGGTTACGATCTCACAGTTTGTGGGTTCAAGCCCCATGTCAGGCTCTGCACTGACAGCATTGCACCTGCTTGGGATTCTCACTCTCTCTCTCTCTGCCCCTCCCCTGCTCGCACTCTCTCTCAAAACAAATAAACTCAAAAAATAAAACATGTTTATTTTGCAAAGTCATGAATCTTTACATAGTGCATTTATCATCACCTCTCCACCCCAGATCTTTCCACAGGAGAGTCCTGTCTGCAAACAGGAGCTGGACACAGCACCACAGGGAAAGATCTCGGCCAAAGTATATGTGTATTAAAAAATTAAAGAAAGGGGTGCCTGGTGGTTCAGTTGATTAAGCATCCAACTCTTTTTTTTTTAACATTTTTTTTTAATTTTTTATAGTTTATTTAGTTTTGAGACAGAAACAGCATGAGCAAGGGAGGGGCAGAGAGAAAGAGGGAGACACAGAATCTGAAGCAGGCTCCAGGCTCTGAGCTGTCAGCACAGAGCCCTATGCAGGGCTCGAACCCTCGAACCGTGAGATCATGACCTGAGCCAAAGCCGGAAGCTCAACCAACTAAGCCACCTAGGTGCCCGTTTTATTTATTTTTGAGAGAGAGAGAGACAGACAGCATGAGCAGGGGAAGGTCAGAGAGGGAGATACAGAATCCGAAGACAGGCTCCAGGCTCTGAGCTAGCTGTCAGCCCAGAGCCCGATGTGGGGCTCGAACCCACAAACCGTGAGATCATGACCTGAGCTAAAGTCGGATGCTTAACCAACTGAGCCACCCAGGTGCCCCAAGCATTGGCTCCAGGTCATGATCTCAGTTTGTGAGACTTAACCCTGAATTGGGCTCTGTGCTGACAAAATGAAGCCTGCTTGGGATTCTCTCTCTGCCCCCACCCCACTCTCACTCTCTCCTTTCTCGAAATAAACAATAAAAAAACATTAAAGAAAAGTTATTGTGAACTTTCCCCTAAACCAGAATTCAGAAAAAAAAACCAAACCTGGGGTGCCTAGGTGGCTCATTAGTTAAGTGTCTGACTTCAGCTCAGGTCATGATTTCACAGTTAGTGGGTTCAAGCGTCTCATTGGGCTCTGTGTTGACAGCTCAGAGCACAGTCTGCTTTAAATTCTGTCTCCATCCCTCTACCCGCCCCCCTGCTCACTCTCAAAAATAAACATTAAAAAAAAATTTTAAGCACACACCTTATTATATAACCACATGAAGACATCCCAAATTTTTCTTTTAGTTGATCTGAGAAAGAGAGAGCACAAGCGGAGGAGGGGCAAGACAGAAAGAGAATCCCAAGCAGGCTCAGTGCTAAGCCCAATACAGGGCTTGATCTCACAACCAACCTCAAGATCTTGAGGTTTTTTTAAAAAAATTTTTTTCAATGTTTATTCATTTTTGAGAGACAGAGAGACAGAGGGTGAGTGAAGGAGGAGCAGAGAGAGGGAGACACAGAATCCAAAGAAGGCTCCAGGCTCTGAGCTGTCAGCACAGGGCTTGAACTCATGGACTGGACCTCAAGGTCATGACCTGAGCCAAAGTCAGACACTTAACTGACTGAGCCACCAAGGCTTTTTTTTTTTTAATGTTTATTTTTGTGAGAGCCTGTGAGCATATGAGCAGGGGAGGGGCAAAGAAAGAGGGGGACAGAGGATCTGCAGCGGGCTCCACACTAATAGCAGTGAGCCAGACATAGGGCTCCAACTCCCCAACCATGAGATCATAACCTGAGCCAGGCAGATGATCAAAGGAATGAACCACCCAGGCGCCCCAGATATTCCAAATTTATTTAGCATCTGGTAATAAACAGAGAATCCCAGATTTGTTCTTTGCAATTGTTTGAAAATGTATATATTTGTAATTTGCAAAACAAAGGAAATAAAATAGTCGATGGGTCATGGAAAGTTCTATCCCAAAGGAGTAGACTTAGTTTAAAACGAAAAGGTGGGGTGTGGGGGAGGACTTGACAAGAAAACACTTCCCTGTGTCCTCACTTCACCGCCCATCAGTGACCACAAACGGAGGGCCCAGTAAGCAGGGCTTTCCCCACCCCGCTGTCCTTCACCCCGCCCCGATCGCCATGGGCGCCACCCCAGAGGACCACAGCATTCTTGCCACATCCTGGAGGAAAGGGAGAGCTGAGTTCTGACCTGGCTTCTCAGTGGCAGCGTACAGGGACTGGCAGCAAGACTTTTCAGGATGAGGAAGGCAGCATTAATAAAAGACAAGGGGAGCCAAGGCTACACGCTTAAAATAAGACATTTATTATGCTAAGTAACAAGTTTGAAGTTTTCACTTTCCCAAAACACTGAAACAGCACACAGCATAGTAATTTAGCACACAGACGGATATAGGCAATCAAGAGCCCCGAAAGCAGTGAGGTCTCACTTTGGGACTCCTTAAAAACTCCACACTCTTTGAAGTGACCTTTATCAAAGTTATCAACAACCCCAAGGTGTTACCTCAGGAAAAAAAACATTAGTATATGCCTCCACTCCTAAGAACTGGAACCTTCCTGTAAGGGAAAGGCTAGGTCCGTCTCTCCCTAGCTGAGCTGCAGCAAAGAAGTCCTAAGCTTGCTTTTATTTCAGGCGACACAGGTGGGGCTCCCAGTTCGAAAAAGGATTATGCTAAAAGTACATTTAATATTGCAACTTTCAATGCAGGGCCTCCATTTAGACTGCGTTTCAAGTGGAAGGAGAGGGGACGTGAGGAAAGGAATCAAATTGTGCTGCAGACCAACATTATTCTACAGAATGCGCAAACGGGGACAGCTAACCATCAACTATGGAGGGGCTGACTTGTACCAACGGCCACTTCCAGCAGAGGGGCAGATGGCCCGAGGAGACAGTGTCTGGGACAGGAGCCCTTGGCAATGAGCGCTGAAGACCCATAAAGCATTTTGTTACATCTCCACGTTCCAACCCGATATTGATACAGGGTACGTGACCGTCCTCCTTGAAGCCGTAGCCCAATACTGAGTATCTTTCGAGCACAATTTAAAGCATGCTCAAAATTCTCCCACATCAACCAACTTCCCAGGAGTTCCAAGTCCACTTCCTTTAGTTCTGATCACATCGACTGAGGCGGGAACTTCGCAGCTGCCCTGGTAACAGGCCTCCAGACTCAGGGTGAAAGAAATCATTCTAAAACCGCTTTTAAAATTAATCTCACTATTTTTATTGTTCTGCTTGTACCTTAACTATGGTGTAATGGATTTGCTACTCCCAAAGCCAGGAGAGCCAGTAACCCCAGGGTGATCTGCAGATCGGCTGAGGTACTTTTCACACGTGAAAGCATTTTCTTGTATTCTGTTTGCTCGGAAAACGCAGGCTTTGAGCGGCCAAAGAAAACACATTCTGTCTCATCGCTCGGGAATACTTTGGGGTGCGCGTGCAGCGGTGTAGACAGGACAAAGCGCGGGCAAGACAGTTCCAACTCAGAGCCTCGCCCGTCCAGAAGAGCACTTGGCGGTTCCTCCTCAGAAATCCCCACTTGTGACCGTTTCTGAAGGCACGGTAGTCCCGACCCACACGGCTCTCCTATGCAGCACCATCCTCCGGGCCAGGCTCCCCCCAGTGCTCCCCCCTCACCACAGGACACCCCGGCACACCGCTCTCCTGCAGGGGCCCAGGACAGAGCCACAGTCTTGCTCTGGGCTGCTGTGCAAGCTGAACTTCTTAATGACTCTTCCCAACACGGAAGCACTTTGTCACTGTTGTGAAGCGAGAGGCTGACATCCTTCAGAGCATTTTTCACTTCCGTCGATAACTCATTCTGTGAATTTCCATCTGCATCAACCACAGGCGTACGCATCCAGGAGGAAGGGTAAGAGGTCTCACCCCGTGCTCCTTCAAGTCCACACAGCAGCCTGTCTGAGTCCTCTCCTGCCCCCTTCACCTTCCCGAGGCGGGTGCCCAGAGCCCCCACTCTGTCCCTCATGCTGCGTGTTTCCTGGTGTGGTGAGCCCGATGACACGCCTTTATCAGTCAGAAGGCCTTCAATGGATCTCAATATGAACCTGGAAAAGATAATCAAATGAAAGTCTTATTATGAATACAGAGTCTGAAAATGAAAAGAGCCTAGTTTTGATAGAAAACAGGATGGGGGCGCCTGGGTGGCTCAGACAGTTGAGCCTCTGACTTCCGCTCAGGTCATGATCCCATGGTTGGTGGGTTCGAGTCCTGTGTTGGGCTCTGTGCTGACACCTCAGAGCCTGGAGCCTGCCTCGGATTCTGTGTCTCCCTCTTTCTCTCTCTCCCCCTTCCCCTGCTCATGCTCTGTCTCTCTCTCTCTCTCAAAAAAAATAAATAAAACATTCAAAAGAAAAAAAAAAACCAGGATGACAAACTACCAATTAGAGATCACAATACTTAAAAAAAAAAAAAAAGAACAGGGGCGCCTGGGTGGCTTAGTCGGTTAAGCGTCCGACTTTCGCTTAGGTCATGATCTCACAGTTCGTGGGTTCGAGCCCCGCGTCGGGCTCTGTGCTGACTGCCAGCTCGGAGCCTGGAGCCTGTTTCAGTCTGTGACTCCCTCTCTCTCTGACCCTCCCCTGCTCACGCTGTCTCTCTCTCTCCCCTAGAAATAAATAAAAAACATAAAAAAAAAAAAGAACAGCACTTTATTAATGCAGCATTACTTACTTAAAAATAAGAAAAAGATACATTCTTGAGCTTTGTACGTTTCACAGCTATTTAGTTACTTCTGTAGGTTCAATAAAAATTTGTCCTCTTTTTAATCAGGATATAACTGGGTGATTCAATCATGCAAACCAAGTCCTTACCTGATGTGTCCTACTTGAGAATGATTCTCAGTGACTCAGGCATGACAAGCCACTTTTAAGGAATCAAGGTCAACTTTATTTATGGAGCTAATGTCTACAACAAAGCCCTCCCAGGAAAAGCTGGTGTGGAAGGGTCCTGGCATACAACATCACAGCCTCAAGGTGGAAGGAAGATCACTGGCCAGCAGGTCAGGAACCTCAGCAAATTTTGGAGCTTTTGATAAGAGAATTTACTGGAGTTTCTAGGTAGTACAAGTAAAAATACAGTGGAGAAAGTTGGGCTTAGGCATTTGATTGTGACTCAAGTCATAATCTCATGGTTTGTGAGTTCTAGTCCTACATTGGGTGAACTTGAGTCCTGCTTTGGGGAAAACAAAACGAAAACAGAAAAATAAACCACAAGCCCCATACTGGGTGAACTCGAGTTCTGCTTCAGGTGAACACGAGCCCCATTCAGGTAAAAACTCGAGTCCGGCTTCAAGTGAGCCCTGCTTCTCTCTTTCTCTCTGCGCCCCTTGTAGGATTCTCTCTTTCTCTCTGCCCTCCCCTCACTTGAGCACTCTCAAATAAACAAACACACACCCAATCTTAGATTCTGCATGAAAACTTCGGGACAGAAGGTGATTTGTGACCTCTGTTGTTGTTCAAGAGCAAACTCAAGGTGGCCCATATGGTGAACACTCTTGCTGCACCTGCAACCCTAATGGGACCAGCCTTTTTTTGTTACCAAGAGCAATATTTCTTTGATACCATTATGCTCCAAATGGGGAAGAGGTCAGGAAAGATTCTGAAAGATCATCAAATAAGTAAGATGACAGAGTGCCCTGTCCAGCGCATCCTTAGGGTTATCTAAGTTTATGGGGCCCTACTCCTTTCTCTGAGCTGCTTTACAACTCTGTAAATTATAGAAAACTTGAGAAGAAAGCAATTTTTTAAAAAAAATTTAGAGAGAGAGAGACAGCGTGCAAGTAGTGGAGAGGGGTGGAGTGGAAGAGAGAGAGAATCCTAAGCAGGCCCCATGCTCAGTGCAGAGCCCGACATGGGGCTCCATCCCACGACCCTGGGATCATGACCTGAACTGAAACGAAGAATTGGACACTCAGTTGACTGAGCCACCCAGGCGTCCTGGCAAATTATTTCTTACCCAAAGAAATAAACATAGTGTCCAGAGGAATGCAAATGATTATTGCCCTATGGATACAGACCAGTTTTACATCCATTTGTAACTTTACTTTGGCATTCCTGGTTACGTATGTTTTGTCTAAATTCTTTAAAAAATTTTTTAACAGTTACCTATTGGGAAGGAAGAGTGTGCACACGCATGGGGGAAGGGTGGGACGGGGGCGGGGAGAGAAGATCTGAAGCAGACTCTATACTGACAGCTGAGAGCCCAATGCTGGGCTCGAACCCACAAACCATGAGATCATGACATGAGCCAAAATCAAGAGTCAGATGCTCAAGCAACTGAGCCACCCAGGCACCCTTAAATTCTCCTTTAAACTGATAATACCTCAATGTTCCCTCATTAATTAACGAGATAAAAAAAAAGTTCACCTGGGCTCCTTTAAAAAAACAACCATAACCCCAGAGCATTAATACATTTAAAGAAATACATTAATTGCATTTAGTAATGTTTCTAAGAGACTAGCCTAAGGAACATCAATCTAACAAAACACACCACTCTGTTGAGAAAAAGGAGGGATGGAAAAGTGGGGTGTGAGGCAGAAGCCGGCGAAAGACAGCTGACAGCTCATCTCCCACAGTAAGACAAAGACAAAGGCTAAGAGTGAAGAGTCAAGAAGCAACAACACAATGTAATTCAGAGACAGAGAAACATGCACTAGGAGAACCAGTTGTAGCTGAAAAGCTTGGCTATGGGGACAGAGAAATGGGAGGTAGGAAGCTGCAGTTTCTTGAACTAGGAAACTCTAAGCTAGAGGAGTGTATATGTGTGTTACATTTTTTAAAAAAATTTAAAGAGGGTACACTGGGAAGGAAAGAAGTCTGAAAGAATAGCAGAGAGCTAAGGGAGGGGGCTGTGGAACCAACCAGGGCTAACGAGAGGCAGTGGCCACGGTTCAAGGAGCATAGCCTCCATCAGCAGGTGATGGAAAGCCACTGAGGGCTCTTCGTGGGCCAGGTGTGCATTTCAGATTAATTACTTTACTTCAGTGTGGTGGCTAGACTGGATAGGAATCACGTTAGGTTAGATGATTAGGAGATTTTTACAATAAGGCAGGGGAAAAAGTGAAGCTGTGAGTGAAGAGGAGAGATGGAATATTTTCCCAGTTGGGAGCTGACAGATGTAGAAAGGGAGATGACCACAGGTTTCTCTGACTTTCAATTCTGGGTAACGAAGGTGTCATTAACAGAATGGAAAGGAGCAGCAGGGGGCAGTGGGTCTGAAGGGGCATCAAACAGTTCAGATGGGGACATACAGAGTTAGACTATGGGAACTGAGCAAGCAACTGGTTATTAAAAAAGTCGTGAGCTCAAGAGTGATGTCAAAACTGGGGACCTAATTTTGAAGTCACCAGCTCTGGTAAGGTAGATAAAATGATGGCCCTGGTATAGCATGTCCAGAGAGAAGACACAAAGACGGTAAGATACAGAAGGCCAGGTCCAAGATCTAGCAAGGGGCCCACCAGAGCCACCTAGGAGGAAGACTCAAGGCACCTTGAAAAACTCAATGTCACAGATGCCAACAGCACTGAGCACTTCAAAAAGAGGGAGGTTAGATGTGCTTCTTGCACAAACAACTTAGCTCCAAGTAATCGCTAAACTTCATACAGTCTTCTAGTCTGGCAGTCGCTAAATGGAGTGACTCCACCTCAGGGAACAGAGGAGTAAATACCAGATGATCTGTGCCTACTTCACATTTAACTCATTGTCCTTTTAACTTTTTCCATGTTTTACAATATATGCCATATTTTGGTAGAGCAAAATGTATAGTTCATAAATAAATGCAAAAAAAGGGGGGAGGCACCTGGGTAGCTCCGTTGGTTAAGTATCTGACATCGGCTCAGGTCATGATCTCACAGTCCATGGGTTCAAGCCCAGCATCGGGCTCTGTGCTGACAGCTCAGAGCCTGAAGCCTGCTTTGGATTCTGTGTCTCCCTCTCTCTGCCCCTACCCCGCTTGCTCTGTCTCAAAATAAAATAAAATAGAATAAAATAGAATAAAATAAAATAAAATAAAATAAAATAAAAGACATAAAAAAAATAAATGCATACATCTCTATCTGCATACTCAAAACTTACCAATATAAGTGTGTCCATTTCTGTACAGAACTAATAAAAAATGTATTTGAACAGCATAAAGTAATAGAAAAACGTAAGATGCACTTTTTTTTAAAACTGAGATAAAACTGACATAACATTATATTAGCTTCAGGCGTACAACATGATTCAGTATCTGCATATGTTACAAGATAATCACCATGAGTCAATATCCATCACCACACATAATCACAGTGTTTTTCTTTCTTGTGATGAGAACTTTTAGGAGGTGCAATTTTATAAGTGTGGATTCTGGCGACAATTCAAAACCAATACAGCTGACCCTTGAACAACACCGGTTTGAAATGCACAGGTCCATGTATATGCAGGTCTTGTTCAATAAATATAATGTAATTCTATAAAATATATTTTCTCTTCCTGATGGTAACATTTTCTTTCTTCTAGCTTACTTTTTGTAAGAATACAGTATATGATACAAAATATATGTTAACCAACTATGTTATTGGGAGGTTAGGTTTGGGAGAAGTCAAAATGTATATGTGGATCTTCACCTGCAAAGGGGTTGGCACTCCCAATCCCCACACTGTTCAAGGGTGAAGTGTAATTTCTAAGTTTACCAAGTCAAAATCTCATCAACTTCCCTGGCCCGTTCTTTCAAATTAACTTTTCAAAGCACATTCTTTCAACCCTCCCGTTTACTTTACTGATTTGATATGCTAAGGAGGAACATTTTCCTGAAATGGAAGCATTCTCAAGTATATTTTTAATACATATTAAAATAGGTTTTAAAAAAATTTTTTTAATTTTTTTTTTTTTTTAATTTACTTGAGAAAGAGACAGTGTGAGCAGGGGAGGGTCAGAGAGAGAGGGAGATACAGAATCCGAAGCAGGCTCCATGCTCTGAGCTAGCCATCAGCACAGAGCCCAAT